TCTGGGCGTACAATAACTCTTCCCAGGTCAAATTACGCAGACACTCAATTAGTAGGTAATGGTCGGTCAGATCGGGGTTCTCTGTTGTGTTACAGTTGGCAGTGTATCCAACGTTATAAGCAAAATCTGTTGCTCGTTCAATTGGTATGATGAACCCTGGGTGAAACACACCACTCTGGGAGATGACGCGATGAAATAAATTAGCAGCTTTCGGGGAATGGGCTAAAATACCGGTACTGATGCCCCCAGCCGATTCGCCAAAGATTGTCACCTGAGTAGGGTCACCACCAAAATTGGCAATATTTTCTTGAACCCATTGTAGTGACATAATTTGGTCATGGAGGCCAAAATTGCCTGGAGAATGTTCGTCACCGGTGCTCAGCCAGCCGAAAGCCCCAAGGCGGTAATTGATGGTTACGACAATAACGCCGTGCGCTCCAGCCAGAAACGTGCTCTCATACAGCATACCTTGTCCGATATCGAACCCTCCACCGTGAATCCATACCATAACTGGATACGTGTTTGCTGGCTGTAGGGTATGGCCAGGTACGTAGATATTCAAGAGAAGACAGTCTTCAGATATGTCGTAATTCGGAAGTGCCTTCGCCATCCATTCGGGTATTGTAAAATATTGAGGACAAGATGGACCAAACACTGTGGCGTCATAGATTTCGGGCGACCATGGTTTGATCTCAACTGGCAATTCGAAACGCAAGTCTCCTACCATTGGTTCGGTATACTTTATTCCACGAAAATACGTCACTTTCAGTCCTTCCTGACCGGTATCTGAGTAGACTCCTCGTACCTGTCCGTATTTGGTGTCAGCAATCGGGTCTCCAGAGACATGAAAACCCAAAAATACTATTATAACCAGATTAACGAACATTTTGCCACAGAACGCCATAGTCAAAGGTAATGCTTGCTCGGGGACGCGCAACACATTGAGTAAGATTACACTGACAAAATAGATATAATCAGCGTTGAGATACGGATCCTATTTTAGGAATAGGGCAGGGTGGAACATTCCTGTCTCGCCATGTATACCGAGAACAAATCAGGTTAATTAGACGCAATATATTATACCTGCATTTCAGTTGTCTGAATACGTCGTTTTGATTGGGATCCCCATCCCAATAATTGGTCAGAATGTGGTAACCCGTGACTCATGAAAGATTACTCGTACAGTTGTGAGCCTGAGTGCCCTTACATACGCGGTGGTTTGTTTACATTATAGCGTCGTTGTCTACACTATGTTTCATCCCGGTGAGCCAAATTTTGAATTAGGATTTGATTTTTCAAATCTTGACGAGAGAAGTGCAGTTAACGCGTTGGATCCAAAACAGATGGATGAAAATACCCCTCTGTATGGTGAAGAACACCGGCCGCAATTTTGAAGACATTGACAAGGAGTGTTTTAGACTGATTCTCAAAAAAACAGAGAGTACCATCAGAGGCGGCGGCGAGGAATTGTGCATGGAGAGGCGAGATCTGCTAGGGGGTCGGGGGCATGCTCCCCCTTCAAAAGTTTGAAATATAGACCCTTTGAAACGCCTTCATTTTGAGGGGGGTCGTCCCCAACATTTTTTTAGGGCTCTACCCCCCCCCCCCACCTGTGCCGCCGCCACTGACCATTGTAAGACACCTGTTACGCGTACAGAAAATTAACATCGTAAACGACGTAGTGTTTTGTGATGTTGACGATGTTATTATTATTATTATTATTATTATTATTATTATTATTATTATTATTATTATATGAGGTTATTACGAGGATACTGCAAAGTATGCACTCAGACAGTACGTGGTCGCATCAATCTCCGCTGCGCGTCGGTCAATACGCACGCTGTAACCTTATTATTATACATCTTTTTCTCCCAGGAATACATCATTGGAATGCTGAAATTCAAAGCGATAGAACAGATTTACCGAGCTTCTTTGTGTGGGGTCCGGTCAATCTCCCAGGCAGAACTATATTTATACTGTCACCACGCGATCTTATGCTCGTCGTTGATTGGTCCATGCGTCAAAATGGCACTACTTTCGGGAAGACGCTCACCAACTTTTTTTTTGCCATGCAGATGTTCGATTAACGAACCCAACGAATGTGTACGTGTTGTTTGTAGATTTTGGCTGTTTTCAAAGTTAGAAGGTTCATTTTACTTTCCGTGGCACAAACGGTGTGGCAGTAGGACTATTTAGTCGTCAATACTACGAAGTGCTTTCGCCTGGCAATCGACAGGACGGTCAGTTTGATGAACCGAGTAACACCTTAGTAACGGTTATTCCGCAATGAAAATATTTTCTTTTGTAAATTATGACTATTTCACTGTTTTCAGTGTGTTTTACGAAAAAATCATTATCAGCTATCGACGAAATATTTTAAAACTTGTTTATCAGTAGGAATAAATCAACACGAGATCCCTCTGAATAACAAAAATACACAAATGATACGCGGTGTGTGGTGACAGAGATACTTTCACTGTTCTGGCCGCAAGGATCTTTAATAATTATTATTATTTAATTTAAACAACAATCTTCATTGCATTGCATTGCATTGTGACAACAAAATTAAACCACTTATTTCATGTTAATAAAATATTTCTTTATGTTCTGTGGTGGTATATGAGGAATATATCTTGAAGCCAATTGAAACGAGAAATCCCAGCTGAGTGGTAGCGTTCTTTAGATGGAAAGTCTGCAACTGATATGTCAGGGTGCAGCAAATACCACATTACGATCAACTACAATTTTAAGTAGTTTTATAAACAACAACAACTTATGACATTATATCCAGGGCACTTAATGAAGTGTATGTTGTTGTTGTTGTTTACAATAAAATAAACAAACTGAATATTATCGATGTTGCTATTGAATATATTGTTTTATTTGGTAAAATAAAACAAATAGTTACATCAGATGACTCACAGATAAAATTATTGAGCTCGGCTGCGCCTCGGCCAATACTATCATCCTTGGGTCAACATAACTGAATAATGACCCCACTTCGATAAATAATGATATAGCATACTACGGATGTCGATCAGTATTTTTTTTTAATTATATCGATTGAGACGTTGCCGCTAACAAGAAAATAATCGATTAAATCACACAACGCCGAAATACGGGTGCTAATTTGCTCAATGACCGCTCGCTGTATCTGTAATCGCTGTTTCGTAGCCATTTTTTTACTAAGGTTAAGTAGAAAGTTTCGGGCGCTGTATCACTTCGTACCTGGTTCCATGTTTGAAAATTACATTTACAATCACGCCTAGAATTATTGAGATAGTTAGTTAGTTAGATGGTTTGATATTTTACTTATCACGAAAGTCATGGCGAAGTAATCTAATTGTGGTTGAAAATGTCGTTAACGTCTTCGTACGTTGTCAACATTTGATATGTTTCACGCACCCAACATGATTATGGTTTTCTCAGTTCTTTGTATAAGATATGTTATACCTAGGCAAAAATGAGTCCAGTGATATATCTAATCTGAAAGACAACCATCGCCCGAATCGAACGATTTGTTGGTTCCTACTTATTGCCGACTCCACCAACCCGTGTGGGATCAGCCTGGGTAAACGCGTATTTTACGTTAAACAAATGGCCAAGTTTGATTGCCATGCGCCTGTTGGAAAGGCGTTCAATCAGACGCTGTGTAACATTTCGCGGTAAACTAAAGAACAAAATATCGGCGACGTGTAGCACGGTTACTTCAAAATTCGTAGCTCCGTCCCTGGAATTTCACCAATTTGATTCTTACAACTCCATCAACAATTCTATTTTGCCTTTCAATCCCACGTTTTTAAAAGCATATGAATATTTTTGTCTAATTTCATGATCGATTTACTTACTCTGACAAATGTGCCCAGTTAGACAATTAAGTACGTAATCTGATAAGAGGGAACTACTGAAACTGAAACTTAACAATTGTATGATGAGGTAATTGGCGCCCTCTTTCGGTCATTGAAAATTCTTCTAGTAACCGTGCGTATAGGGTGTGTGTAGATTGTTTGCCAAACCCATAAAACTGGCGCTGCATTTTTT